AAAGGACTACTATCGGTAAAGTTTCTTCATAAGAATTTTGACGGTAAAATTAACTAACGAACGGAGACGTAACAGTGTAAATGATAGTGAAGCATGATTATATTTGTTATCATTATGTTAGGCTTATTATATTTTTTGACACTACGTTCATCATATCAATTGCAGTAGATTCAAATTTGCTCAATCCAGAGCTCATCATGCTGGCTGGGATACAACAAACACAGTAGTGGTCGGAACACTCTTTATATAAACCATTTGTTACAAGAATTATTGTTATGGTATGAACACTTTTTATAAGCTGGCAAAGAATTATTATAGTTAATTATATGAGCTCTGGATCGAATGAAATGCCTGCCGAAGTGATCCAATGAACGATTTATAACACAAGTATTTTAGACCTTCATCTCTTTGTATTATTCAACATCTGACACTTATCTATGCAATGGTCAATGACCACAATAAGACATAGGAAACTACATGGAAATATTTCTTCACATTTGATGTAATGATCAAATTAACAGTATATTATTTAGTCTTTTGCATGTTATTTTAAGGCAAGTAAAAGAGATATGGGATGACAGTAAATTTATGTTTTCCGTTAGGTAATCTGAACAATTTTTTTCATACATATTCCTTTAAATTTGATGTATTTACTTTTGCTGGCAATAGATGCTAGCATTTGGTAATTTTTTTTCACCAACATTTGATACAAGTAAAATTCGAACACTGATATTTCACTCACATCTTGGTTAGAATATTGTTACATCTCTGTTCATTTGTTAATTTGTTCATTTAGCACAACATGTACTGCATGTCCTACATCATTCTTCCACATCTTGCCTCATACATATCCAGTAAAATCTCTGTCGTAGGTGACTCAATGTCTTCTTAACTCCGAGATGTCCTCCTGTTAAACTCTCATGGGATTGACGCAGCACAACTTTCCGTAATTTTCTCGGTATAACCGTTTGCCAGGTCGTCACTTTCCCATCTCCGGAGAAGAATACCATCTTCAAGCTTCAACTGGTCCCATTGTGCCCAATAGTTCTTTGTCACAGGGCTTAAGCTAGACACCTTCTCCCAAGCAGGGTGTAAAACACTTGCTTTTAGAAAGTCAATTATTGGCTTCAAATTTTGCTCTTTCTCCTGCTCTGCTTTAATATCTATACCTGGTTCCACATCACTATCATCAACTCCTTCAGTCACTTTGACTTCAGCTTGATGACTTCTGATTAGTTCAACTTCTCTTTTAAACCTTACCGGAACTT